GCAGAGATTGCAGCAGGTAAAGAAATGCACCAATAAGCATCTCTCTTCGTAGAGAGCAGAATGCGGCTTGGCTGGGTCAGGTCAAAAAAAAAAAAAACCAAAGGGGAGGCTACAGTACAGGATTGAGTGTATCCAGCCTGTTCCCTATTCATCTTTGAACCTTTCACCTGCTGCTATCATATTCCTGAACAGGTGTGATCTTCTCTTTCCCTACTATAGCCACTTCGCAAAATGCATGCCAAATACCGGGACAGGGACCTAAAAAAGACTCTGCTGACCCAAAGATGGCTGCCGAAGGCCAACCTGAATGCTGCCTCCAAGGAACCAGGGAACCACAGAGAATCTGAGTCTCTCCTGACTTCCTATCCATACTGTGATATGCTCCAGTCAGGTGTCACCTACAGTGGAGGAAGCAGACTGCACCTTCCTACAAGATTCCAACAGCAAAAAAAAAAGGAATTTGGAGATTTTGAAGGAGGCTGATAGCAAGAGAAGGTTCTTTTTGAGCTAAGAGCATGTACTTCAATAGATTTTTTGAAAACCAGAGTGCATAGGTGGAACACTTACACATATTTATTACCTCTCACAAAGATCACAGTATTCCTCCAAAGACTTCATCTGCTTTTTTTCTCTAGAAGAATGAAGCCATCTTTGTGCAGGCACCATCTAGGGTCAGCATCTACTTTCTTAATTGATTTGCTGGTTCATACAGATCAGTCATGTACAGGAGATCTGATGTATGTTTGGTTTCCAACTGTGTTTAGGAATGTCTGACACAGATCAGCCCTATGTATATAATAAAAGAATGAGTGCTAATCTGAAAAAGCAGCTAAGCACTCTAAGTAACCAATATATACTTAAACAGAGTAATAACAACAAAAGTGCAGCGCTAAATAATAAAGTCTGAAAAATGTCCACTATAAGTCTAGAGAATTCATAAAAACGTGCTAGATGACAAGTTAGAAATCAATGAAGGTGATCCGTGAAGAAAAGCAGGAAATGCGCACTCACCAGAAGAGACAGATATAAGTAGCAGTATGCATCAAAGTCATGGATCCTCAATCAAGGAGAAAACTGGTCTGGTCAAAATGGGTTGATCCTCCCTTAAAGATGCAAAGCTTATCCAAAAAAGATCCAGGTAGCCAGAGGTCTCCTACAGCTGGATGGACGTCCAAGGGGTCACCTACTTACAGGGGGTCCTTCCTCCTCTTGGTAAAAGCCTGAATTCTCAGTAAAGGACTCTGCAAAAAGGTACTCCTCTCAGGGAGTCAAGAAGGACCCCCATAGCAGGTAGTATTCATAGAAAAAAATCACAACTGGACCACAACCATGACACCATCTTAAGTCCAAATGTAGTTCTTTTGTACAACAAGACCCAGTTTTCTCCTTGATTGAGGATCCATGAGCTTTGATGCATACTGCTTACTTATATCTGTTTTCTGGTGACTGCACATTTCTGCTTTTCTTCACGGATCACCACCATTGATTTCTACTTGTCATCTGGCACATTTTTATGAATTAGACTTATAGTGGAGTGAGGATGTTTCTTTCTGCATACACTAAACCCAGGCAAGCAAAGTGATTTATAGGATCTCAGGGACTGAATTTTAATGAGTAAAGAGACAGTTTTTTTAAATAATTACATAATTATTTACTGTTGCTGTATATTGGAACTTGTTAGAATTTTGTTCCATTAAAAGATTTGTGAGAAATCCACTTTTATAACCCTCAACCATTCCTCCACAGCTGTTTGCAAAGCCAAGCAAGGGAGTTATGTCTATATCGCTGGCCATATGCTGCAGATTTGGTGGTTCTTGCCAGCCCTGCAAACACACCCCAGCTCCACAAAAGTCAATAAACAAATCAACTGAACTGGGTAAAAAAGTACCATTTTAGATATTCTTCATACTTCTGCATTAAGTAACTGAAACTGATTACAACCTAGTACATTCTTTCTCTAAACCTGAAAAATTTTCATACGAGATGAACTTGATGTAGGCGCAAGAGGACATCCACCCTGATGGATTATGACATGGAAGATAAAAAAAAAAAGAATCCAAAGTTTTAATGCAACTTGATACTCACTAGTATGACACATCAGCTGTCCCCTAATTATTTGCCTTATGCCATTGCCAGTACAGGTGGATACATCAACAGAATCCAGAACATATTTGAATACAATAGTCATTGCATAAAGATTGTTACAAATGAGTCAACCTCAATCCCAAGATAATTTCTTATTATTATGTCACGTATCCCTGTAAATGCACATCATTTCATTCAAAATGCTATCTAAATGGGTGACTCAATGTCTACTAAATGTATAGATAACTCTTCCAAAAACCCCAAATATTTCTGAAATAGTAAAATAAATCTATGTCAGACTGAACGTGTATGTGAACCCTAACAATAAACTTATGCTCCCTTTTGGTCTGATAAATATACCATTAAATGTGTTTTGATATACATGTGTAGCGCTACCATCTTGAGGGCTGCTGAGTATTTTTGGTTTCCCTGTCTGTCACGAGCCTGCTTTGAAGCTCAGCCCCTGCTGACACCACCATGACCAGGAGAACTCCCTGGCTTTGAACCATAAAATAAACACACACAGTTTAAGGTGAGAAAATATTCTGGTTATATTGAGGTCAGGCTATAACGAATGCAAGCACAAGAATGACAGCAGATGTGCTTAAAAAGTTAAACACTCTGAAAATTTCAACAAAGTAATAAAACACAGAATCACTTTAAGCAACTTCAAATGTCCTGCAAGATTAGAATTTAAGCATCAATTCCAGCTTCTGAGATATCTCTCCCCAAGGGGTCTGGAGTGAACTATCATGCTGTCAGGCTAACTCACTTTTTGGGTTCTCAGTTGCTGGAAACTGGGTTTAACTCTGAGATGAATAATATTGTTATAAGCAATAGTGTCCTCTTTTTGTATCTCTTTAAGTAAAGGTGTCAAATCTTCTGCGCGCTTGATGGAGTCCTAGTTGGTGCACATTAAGGTCCAGATCCTTCCTTGTGTAAGATGATATAATCACAGAAAGTTCCCCTTTGGGTGATGTTGAATTTAAGTAAAGTCTCTTTAAACACAAAGGATGAAGGCAAGAATTAGCTAAAAAGCTGAAAGCAGCATAGCTGGCTGCTCATAGTTAAGATGAACCAGGAACCCAAAGGCTAGTGAAGAACTAGTTTCGGTGAGGACGGTGCTGGATCCCTGGACAGGTAAATGTTCTTTTATTAAACTTTAGTAGCTACAGGATTTGAAGCTGCTGACTTTTTTTTTTTCCAGAGTGAAGATCCGATTTAATAAGAGAAAAGGTGGAGGTGGTAAATTAAGTCTGAATAGTATTAGTCAAGGTTTAATAAGTGCCGAAATAGTTTATTTTAATAAAATGTATTTTTACTTGCATGTTTCCTTGCAGAGGCATACTTACAGATCATGAGGCCCCATAGCAAAATTTTGATGGGGCCCTTTAGTGACCTCTGTCTGAGATTGTGGACAAGAAATTTTAACCTAAGTTTTCCACCGAACTACATTGTCCTCAGTAGCTACACAGTATTTTTCATTTATCAGATCTAAGATCTCAGTGACTGTCAGGAATGGACTGGCCCAGCAATTCCCTCTGCTTGACCCTCTGTACTACGCTGCTTGCTACTATGCTGAACCTGGCCTGTGGACCCCGACCATTCTCCCCGCTTGCTCCCCCTGTACCTACCTGCCCAATTGATATTGACCCGGCCCTGCCTGACGACGCTTGCTTGTATGTACTGTTATCTGTGGGTGGTTGGTTTGGTTTGTTTGCACTGTATTATGTTTAGTAATTGCACTGCGTTATATGTTTGTAATTGTTAAGTGTTAATAAATTATATTGTTTATCCCATATCTGAAGTCTGCGTTTCCCTGCGTCAGTTCACACATCTCTGGTCCATACCCTGGGAGCCCTGACATTACACCAAGGCCAATCCTGACCAGAAGTGACTGCACAGGGAAGCCATCTTGGTTTGTTGATGGGAAGGATGGATCTGGATGAGGTTGAGTATTTATCTCTGCTAGTGTTTGATGACAGGGAGTATGCTTATCAAACTCTGAAGGAGAATCCCCGGGATGAGACTGCTAGAAAATGTATACTGCGCTCGCTCATGTTCTAGTAGATCAGGGCACAGAGTTCTCTGAGGTGCAGCTTTTGATTTTTGATTGAGGTTTGTGCAGAGATGGTTTCATCTGGTTCCCCCGAATGCATAGGATGAATTTTTGCCACCATTTAGTGCAGACCAGGTAGAGTCCCTGGTGTGGTTATTAGAAGGATGATGTGGGTTTACTTTCTGGAGCGTTATTCCACATGTTCACCACAGACACTAAGAGTATTTGTATAAACGCAGTGCAGTCATTGACCAGACAGGCTTTGTGTAAGCTCAGCTTTGTTCAACCCCTACTGCAGACATGGACAGACTTGTTGCACCCAGCCTCAGTCAGCTTACCAAAAACCCAGTTCCTGCTTCTAAACTCTTCTCCTGTATTCCCAACAGCTCCTCCAGTTTACAGCCCAGTATACTTGGCTATCTACCGCATGTCAGTACCCTGTTCCCACTCCCCCTATCACTCGCTGCACCTATCCTGCCTTTAACCCTGTAAAAAAGCCCCTCTGTAGCAACTGCTCCCTCTCCTGTTCCATCCTCCAGTTCTTCTCTGTCTCCAGCTGTTTGCAGACCTGCGTTTACTTGCAGTGCTCACCAGTAGTTAAAACCAGAAAAAAGCGAAAATTCTTTCCAACCAATACCATCCTGCCAGTATCCAACAACCCGGTGAGCCTGCCTTCCGTGGTTCAGCATGAAGCCTCTACTCAGCCTGAAGCTCTACTTTTACTCGGCCTGAAAATCCTCTACTCTCACGGCCTGAATCCTCACTACTCGGCCTGATGCCTCTACTTCGGCCTGAAGCCTTTCTACTCCGGCCTGAAGCCTCTACTCAGCCGGACGCCGGCATTCAGCCTGATGCCTCTACCCAGCAAATGATGAACTTATCCAGCCTGATGATCCTATTAGGCCAGTTGACTCGATGCCACGCTGTTTGATCCAGAATGATCCGGTGCTCGCTGTCGTGCCAATTGACTCACAAGCCCGCTGTCCGTACCTGGTGACTTCGGTGCCCACTCGCCTTGCCAGATGACGCGGTGCCCGCTTGCGATGCCAAATGACCTGATGCCTGGTGACCCAGTGCCCGCTGTCATACCTGGTGACACCCGATGCCCGCTGTCGAGCCAGACGATCCAATGCCTGGTTGGACCCCGGTGCCCACAGCCTTTCCAGATAGACCGCGGTGCCCCGCTGCAAAGCCCAAATGACCTGATGCCCTGGGATGACCCAGATGCCCCTCTGTCGAGCCAGACAATCCGGTACCCATGATGACCCGGTGCCCACTGTCGGTGCCTTTTAGATTCGGAGCCCCACTGTCCTTGCCAGATGACAGCGGTGGCCCGCAGTTGAGCCCAAATGCCTGATGCCTGGTGACCCCGATGCCCTCGCTTCCCAGTCAGACGACCAATGTCTGAACCCAGTTCCAGCGGTCAAAATGTCCAGTTGAGCTTGGAGCCCACTGTCGTGTCCAGATGAACTCGCGCCCGCCGCTCTGCCTGGGGCCCGAGACCCTGTCCGCCCACCTGGGGGTCCGGCGCCTGCCGCTCCGCCTGAGGGCCCCGAGACCTGCGCTCCACCAGGGGGTCCGGCGCCCGCCGCTCACCGCCTGGAAGGGCCCGATACCTGTCCGCTCCATTCTTGGGGTCCGGCGCCTGCCGCTCCTCCTGCCGTCCCGAGACCTGTCGCTCCCCCTGGGGGCCCGAAGACCTGTCGCATCCACCTGGGGGTTCCGGCGCCCGCCGATCCGCCTGAGGGCCCGAGCCCTGTCGCTCCCCCGTCCTGGGGGCCCGAGACTGTCGCTCACTTGGGGGTCCGCGCCCGCCGCTCCATCTGAGGCCCCGATACCCTTCCTCCACCCTGGGGGTTCCGGCCCCCCGCTCCGCCTGAGGGCCCGAACCTTGTTCGCGTCCACCTGGGGGTCCGGACCGCCGCTCCGCCTGAGTGCCCGAGACCTAGTTCGCCTACCATCTGAGGGGTCCGCGCCCCGCCGCTTCCAGCCTGAAGGGCCCGAGACCTGTCGCACCTCCACCCTGGGGGCCGAGACCTTTCGCTCTGTGCCTGTGGGTCCGGCGCCCGCCCTCCGCCGAGGGCCCCCAGACCTGTCGCTCCACCTTTGGGGGCCGGAGCCCCGCCCCCCCTTTTTTCCCCCTGAGGGGGCCCAGACTTGTCCCCTCCATCTGGGGGTCCGGCGCCCGCCCCTCCCCCCTGAGGGCCCCCGACCTGTCGCTCCACCTGGGGGCCCGGCCCCTTTTCTCTTTCCTGGGGGGGGCCGGGGGCCCGCCCCCTCCGCCTGAGGGGCCCGAACCTGTCGCGCCCTGGCCCGGGGGGGCCCATGACCTGTCGCTCCACCTGGGGGTTTCCCGGGGACCCCCCGCCCGCCCCGAGGGCCCCAGACCCGTCCCCCCTCCACCTGGGGGGTCCGGCGCCCGCCCCCCGCCTGAGGGCCCGAGACCTTCGCCCCCCCCTGGGGGTCCCGGGGGCCCCCCCGCCCGCCGAGGGGCCGAGACCTGTCGCAAAACCCCCTGGGGGGGCCCCATGGCCCGTGCCCCCCCCTTTGGGGGCCCCCATGCTTTTTCGCCCGGCCTGGGGGCCCGATTGGGCCCGTCGCCCCTCCTGGGGGGCCCATCCCTTTTCGGGCCCCCCCTGGGGGGCCCCCGGGGCCCCCCCGCTCCCGGGCCCGGGGGCCCCGGGTGGGGCCGGCGCCCGCCGGGGGGGGGCCCATGCCGGTTGCCCCCCGGGGGCCCGATGCCGTGCCCCTCCTGGGGGGGGCCCATTTCCTTTCCCCCCCTTGGGGGGCCCGGTGCCCGCCCTCCCCCCCTGGGGGGCCCGATGCCGGTCGCCCCAAAACCCGGGGGGCCCCTTGGCCCGGGCCGCCCCACCCGGGGGCCCGGTGCCTGCTGGGTCCCCCCCGGGGGCCCCCGGGGGGCCTGCGTCCCGCCCCGGGGGGCCCGGGCCTTCGTCCCCCAAGGGGGGGCCCGGGGCCCTTTCTGCTGCCCCCGGTGGGCCCCCCCTGCCTGCATTTTCTCCGCCCCGGGGGGGTCGGTGCCTGCTGCTTTCCCCCCGGGGGCCCCCGGTTTCCTTGCCCGGCCCCGGGGACCCGTGGCCCTGCTGGTCCCCCTGGTTAAACTGATGTGCCTCTGCCCCGGGGTCCGCCCGATGTGGGCCCCTGCCCGGAATCCAACCCCCCATGTGGGTCTTTCCCGGAAAATCCAGCCCGATGTGCCTTGCCCGGGGTCCAGGATGTGCCTCTGCCCGGGGGTCCCGCCCGATGTGCCCCTGCCCCGGGGTCCCGCCCGTTTTGCCTCTGCCCGGGGTCCTGCCCGATGTGCCTCTGCCCCGGGTCCTGCCCGATGTGCCTCTGCCCGGAGTCCCAGCCCGATGTGCCTCTGCCCGGAAATCCAGCCCGATGTGCCTTTTTCCCGGGAGTCCCGGGCCCGGGTGAGCCCCCTTTCCCGTTTTGCCTCTGCCCGGTTTTGCCTCCCGCCCGGGGGGTCCCCGCCCGGGGGTGCCCCTGCCCGAAGGGGCTTTTTGCCCGGGAGTCCACCCAAGTGCCTTTTGCCCCGGGGTCCACCAATGGCCCCCCTTCCCCGGTTTTCCCCGGGGCCCCATGTGCCTTGGGCCCGGTTTTTCCGCTGCCGGAGTCCTGCCGGGGTGCCCGTCTTTTAATATCCCGCCCGTTTCCAAGGGCCCCGTGGGGTGGAACATTTTTTCCCCGTAGGACTGTTTGGAGCGCCTGAGGCCCCTCCTTGGGGGGGGGTATTTTCAGGAATGGACTGGGGCCCCAATGGGGGGGACCCCCCTGCCTTTTGATCTGCAGTTTCCAAGGGTGGCCAGGGGGTGCTCCCCCGCAAAAAAGAGACTCAACTTTGCAGGCCACTAACCCTGGAACGGATTATGGGTGGGGGATTTTTTGGGTTTGGGCCCGACCCCAGAATCTGCCTTTTTGGTTTTGTGTTTGTCCGGGGGCCCCCCATCTTTTCCTGCATCCGTTTCGTTCCCTTTTCTGACCCTTTTGTACTAAAGCTGTTTGCTACCTGTCCTGATCCCTGGTTGTGAACCCGATCATCCCCCTGCCTGACCCTTGTTCACGCTGCTTTTACCGGGTTTGATTCCCCGGCTTGTGGGCCCTGACCATCCCTCTGCTGGACCCCCCTGTTCTTTGCTGCTTGCTACCTGCGGAAAACCCGGGCCCGTGACCCCGACCATTCTCCGGGTTGCTCCCCCTTGTACCTACCTGCCCAAATTTTTTATTGGGCCCCGGGCCCGCCCGCGGCTTGCTTTTATGTACTGGGTTTTCTTTTGGGGGGTTTGGGTTTTGGTTTTTTTTGCACTGTATTATGTTTAGTATTTTCAAATGGTTTATGTTTGGGAATTTTTAGTGTTAATAAATTATATTGTTTTCCCCCTATCTTAAGGGCTGCGGTTTTCCCTGCGTCAGTTAACATCTCTGGTCTTCCCTGGGGCCCTGAACAGTGCTTTGTGTAAAGAAGTAGTCAAAAAGTTAAAAAAAAACAAGGGAGCAATAATGGGGAATCAAACATTTTTTTATTTAACTGTTTTTTAGAGTTTTTCCCGTGCACACCCTAAAATTTTAAAATCAAACGGGCTTTAAACTTTTTTTTTTTCACTGCGCTGGGAAGCATTGCACCCGCCAAAAGTTGGGTCAAGGGTTTTCCCCTGCCGACTACTGGTCAGTTCAGCTGTCTGCCCATTTCCCCCCCCCAAAAGTGCCCGACCGTTCGCAGAAGTGCCCCGTGTAAGACGTTGGTTTTTGTTCATTCATTCACAGAATTCTGTGAAAGAATTTTATGGCTGGTGGATGGGGGCTTCCCCCATGGCTCCCTTGTTTTTAAATTGTTTACAGGGAGTTTGGGGGGGGGTTCCCCCAAATCTTGTCATGGGGGGTGTTGGGGGGCAAAGGGGAGGGGGTTTTTGGGGTCAACCCCCCACCCATTTAACACAGCAGGGGCCCTTGTTTCCTCTTGTCCAAAAAGTATTGGGAAAATGTCATGTCTACCTTTTTTTTGTAAAAACACTGGGGCAAAAATGTTGGCGCTTAAAAAAATATGTTTTTTTTATTAATTTAACACCAAAAATTTTTACTACGGGACAAGGGCTTTAAAAACCCCTTCCCCGCCGGGCCCCATTGAAAAAATTTCTGTTCAGGGCTGCACGGTTTTGTGCAAAAAACCTGTTTTTTTTGGATTTGTGCTTTCCCGGGGTTTTTTTGTGGGGCCCGGGGGGCGCGCGCATGCCCCCCCCCGCCCCCGTGGAACCGGGGGGATTTGATTTCCCCAAGGGTTTTTTTCCGGTCCCATTTTTGGCCAGTGGTTTCTTGGGCCCAAGTCGATGATCGATCCCTGTCCTATCAGGGGGTCTTTCCCGTACCCGTGTTTTTCACTTACACAGGTTCGGTAGTGTTTACATCTTCTCTTTCTGGGCACATTCGGGCCCAGAGAGGAAAAAAATCAAGGCCCCAGGTGGGGTAAAAGCACATTTTTTTCACGTTAGAACCCCTTTTAGGACACATTTAAACCCTTGATTGCCCCCCCCCCCGGTTTAACCCCTTTTTCTGCCTTGGGCACCAGGGGGGTGGGGGTAACCGTGTACGTTTTTTTGCTGAACACTGTATTTGTGTCTTTTTTCCCGGGGGAATTTAGATAGCATTAGCATCAGTCGTGTCAGTTTTGCCCTCCCTCTCAGATAGCAAACGGGTTGCCCGTCAGGGAAGCATATTTACATTTAAACCCCCTTTATTGCCAGGGGAAAATGCTCATACCGTAAACCCCCATTGTAGTATAGTGTCTGAAAGGATTTTAAAATCTTTTGGCACAAACCGCCCCTATAAAACCCGCGTTCACATTTGTATTGGTCCCCAAAAAAGCAAACGTAGCAGGGAAACAGCCCCGGCACCCGCCGCCCCCCCGCATTTTAAAACCCACCTTTTCCCCCCCCCCCTACTCCCCCAAACAAATGCAATTTTTCAAATTGATCCGGGCACATGATACATTACAAGGGGGAAAAACCGCAGTGTTTTTCAGAATTTGGGCCCGATCTTGTTAAAAACTTGCCCCTAAATTTTTTGTCTGTTTCAAGCAGTCCCTTTACAGCCAGGGGACTCTTTTTCCCCGGGGGAAACACACTAGGGGGCCTATAAAAATTTGTGTCCAAAAAGTCAAAAGGGAAAAGGGAACCCTTGTGAAGAGGCCTACCGGGTTTGACCTTTTCAGGGGTTTAGGGGGGAAGGGGAAACTCACTGACCCCAAAACAGCCTCAAAATAAGAAAAACCCGTAGACAGCAGGAAGGCAACCTGACAGGGTAGCTTTAGG